TAACCATCGACAAGGTAAATCTACAACTTTGTCCAAATTCGGCGCCATTTTGTCATCCCATGTCGCTTGTTAACAATTCAGCCTTGTTACTCTTCCATCCAAGCCATTTCCATTCCACAATAATAAATTTAACCCTTTATAACAGGAGGAAACTAAAAAATCTAAACAAAATATAAGAAATACGCCATTTTATCACCATGTAAAATTTTGCTCACGAGTCTTTCGAAACATTCCGTACAAATATCGCGTGACAAAGTAACAGGGACGTGACAGGAGGGGGTGAATTATTTCACGAAGATAGAAGAAGGCTGCGTGAAATAGACTAAAAGCTAAATACAATCATACAAATGTTTGTTTTGTTTCTTGTAGCGACAAATATATACATATTATTATTTATTAATATGAAAAAGTCATACAAATTAAATGTTGATTGTTGGTTTTACCATACTGTGTGGGCTTTCCTTTCATTTTTCAAGTCTCTACCCCCCTGTCACGTCCCTGTTGCTAAACCACGCGAGATTTGTATGGAATGTTTTGAAGGACTCGTGTGCAACATTTTACATGGTGATAAAATGGCGTTTTTCTTATATTTTGTTTAGATTTTTTAGTTTCCTTCTGTTATGAAGGGTTAAATTTATTATTAGTGGAATGGAAATGGCTTGGATGGAGGAGAACAAGGCTGAGTTGTTAACAAGCGACATGGGATGACAAAATGGCGCTGAATTTGGACAAAGTTGTGGATTTGCCTTGTCGATGGTTAAACAGGTATGATCTACTTGAAACCAAGTTGAAACTTGTTTAAAATGTTCTTGATACCATGTCTGAGATGATTTACATTTTTGTAGGATGTCGACGAGATCGCCGATAAACAGCGGAGTAAAGTGGAGAACTTGGCCAAATATGTCCATTTGCAGGAGGTAGGCACATTTCAAATTATTATTTCGGTCATAAAATATTAACTATTTTACACCAAACCAGTGATAATATATTTAAATAAGTACCATTTATGTTTCTATCAAAAAGATTTAGGGAAAAAGGTAATGTAAGTCCACTGCTGTTTATCTGAATTTGCAAGCCACAAATTGACGTTTAACTATGATTATTGCATGGTCATTTTCTTGTGAAATATTATTGCTTGGCATTTCACACTTACCAATGACCACCCCCAAAGTACCATCTCTGAACCATATAAGCACCTCAGAATAGCCAAAGCTTTTATGGTTTGGTAGATAGCAGTATGGCGAAAGCGTCGTTTTTGGGTGTGGTCGGTTTCGGACGTTTCGCCCCGGATTGGGGTTCGGGCAGCGTTACCATGTTGACCGTCATGGTCAACTTACCCTAAAACAGTTGAGATTATCTGTCCTAAATGAAATGCATACAAACTCATATACAGGTCCTAGACTATATATATGTTTGCGTATATTTTATCATTTATTATTAAAAAGAAACAAATTCAATATCCCGCGGAAGCCTTTAGATCCTAAGTCTCTTACATGGTCCTTATTCGAGCCGGATGTACGTTTAAATCAAGGGAAATCGAGAATTTGTTTACGAACTTGGCAAACATCGTTGATCGTGAGTTGAATAATTAGTATTCATATATTCAAAGTTTATTGGTGAAAATACTGCGTAAAGTCGTTGATTATTCAATGATCGAGTATTCGAGTTAATCCTGGACTTGAGAAATTTATGAAACCCTATATCCATTCTATACAAGATGACTGAAGAAGAATTAAAGAGGAAAATTAGAGTCCGCGGGGGTCACCGGGCTTCAGCCAAACGCATAATTGCCGCAGCTGAAGAAAGTCTTCAAGTATTCGACCCAAACAACCCAGAAACAGTTATTAAGGTGAAACAGCAGCTGACCACCCTCAAGGAAAAAATGAAAACTCTGAGTGTGCACGATAAAGAATTATTAAGTTTGGTAAAGGAAGAAGAAATCGAAAACGAGATTGAACAAGCTGATATATTTAAGGAACGATTACAACACTCGATAGTAAGCATCGAAATGGCACTAGAGAAAATTGCAAACAAGACATTGGCTCATGGTAGCACTGTTAGTGGCACATCACCCAGCTCGTCTAATGTAAGTCAAAATTCATCTTATTCTGCTACTGTAAAATTACCAAAGTTAAGCTTGAAAAAATTTAGTGGGGATGTCACAAAGTGGACAACATTTTGGGAGTGCTATGAATCTGCTATTCACAGTAATGCTAATCTCACAAAGATTGAAAAGTTCAATTATTTAAAATCAATTTTGGAACATTCTGCAGCAGAAACTATAGAGGGACTGCAGTTAACAAATGCAAACTATGATGAAGCAATTAAGATCTTGAAAGATAGGTTTGGAAATCAACAAATTATTATCAATAGCCACATGGAAGCACTGTGTAATATACCGAATGTTGGAAGTATTGACAATGTCAAAATGCTTCGTCAACTTTATGACAAAGTAGAAACCCATGTGAGAAGCCTTACAAGTCTTGGAGTCAACTCAGGCTCATATGGGAATCTAATGATTTCAATTCTCATGAATAAGCTACCACAAGCAATGCGTGTTATTGTTACGAAGGCATTGGGGAGCACATGGACCCTTGACAAAATGTTGGATACTGTTAAGTCTGAATTAGAAGCCCGTGAAAGAGCCAACATGTTGAGTTCAAAACCAGCAAGCAAACCACCATATTCCCCACATCCAAGGGGATACAGCAGTGCAGCAGCCCTCCTAAACAATGGAACCCCTCCGACATGCACTTATTGTAAAAATACCCATCCCTCAGCTCATTGTAATGTTGTCACCAACCCGAATGCGAGAAAGCAGATCCTACAAAAGGAAGGCAGATGTTATATCTGCCTTCGGAAAAATCATGTCAGCCGAGGATGCACATCGTCCCTGAAATGTTATCACTGTGGGAAACGTCACCATGCGAGTATATGCAATGCCAGACCATCAAGAAATGAAAATGAGAAAGAAACCCACAACGTCGACCATGAAGGTACCAAACCTCCCAAAGACCAGAAGAGCAATGACACCCCAGATAACAAGAAAACCAACAACACCCCGGATAACAAGCAAAGCCCCCATGAGGAAAGAAAATCTCATTCTTTATATATTGAAAATGGTACTTCCATTTTGTTACAAACTGCACAAGCAGAAGCATATAAGTCAGATGCACCAGAAACAAGCATCCCAGTTAGAGTGATCTTGGACAGTGGCAGCCAAAGATTCTATATAACGACAGGATTAAAGGACAAGTTAAATCTCCCAACACTCAAATCTGAACCGCTTATGATTAAAACGTTTAACTCAAAAAGGGAATCAGTGCAAGTATGCGATGTTGTCCAGTTATGTATTGGTAAAGAAGGAAGTCGAGCAGTAAATCTTAATGCCTATTGTGTACCTACAATTTGTTCTCCACTTGTCAACCAAAACACCCGAGTGTCCCAATCCCAGTACGACCACCTAACATCCCTTAAATTAGCAGATGAGACTAGTGGGATCGAAGCAGCAACGATAGAGATACTAGTTGGATCAGATCAGTATTGGCAATTAGTAACAGGAGAAGTAGTGAAAGGCGAATCAGGGCCCACAGCCATGAACACGAAGTTAGGTTGGGTGCTCTCTGGCCCAATCGAAAGAAGCACTGTGAGTCACCAGCCGGTGACAAACCTTGCATGCACACATGTTTTGAAATGTGCAGCGAATCCCTTGAAAGACGGTGTTGGATTAGAAAATGAAATAAAGAAATTTTGGGAGTTAGAGGTATTAGGTATTCAACCAGAAGAGGCGACAGTTTATGAGGATTTTACGAACACGATATCACGTAAAGATGGAAGATACGAAGTTCAATTACCATGGAAACACTCTCATCCGGTCTTGCCAGATAACTACAAGGCTTCCCTACAGCGTTTTCATTCTCTGTACAATCGATTAAAGCAGACCCCAAGAATTTTGGAAGAATATGGCAACGTCATTAAAGACCAACTTCAGAAAGGGATTGTAGAAAGAGTAAATGAATCTGAGGCTTGTGAAATTGGCAAGGTACACTATCTACCACATCATGCCGTCATACGTAGAGACAAGGAAACAACACGTTTGAGGGTAGTTTACGATGCGTCCTCTAAGTCCAACGGAATCTCGCTGAACAGTTGTTTATATACTGGGCCATCTTTGTCCCAGAATATATTAGACATACTGATACGATTTCGAAGTTTCAAGGTAGCGATGATTAGCGACATCGAGAAGGCGTTCCTGATGGTCTCTATTGCGGAAGTGGACAGAAATGTGTTGAGGTTTTTGTGGGTAGACGACATTTCCAAGGAGAAACCAGAAATCATCGTCCTTCGCTTTACCAGAGTCGTTTTTGGAGTTTCGTCATTTCTACTCAATGCAACCATTGCACACCACATCGGACAGTATGAAATAGTTGATCCCACATTCGTAGAAAGGTTTTTAGAAAACATCTACGTTGATGACCTTAGCGCTGGAGGAGCGAGCGTGAGTGATACCTATGAATTTTACGTGAAATCTAAGTTGAGATTGGCTGAAGGAGGGTTTAACCTGAGAAAGTTCATGTCAAATTCTAAAGAATTAATGAATAAAATCGATGCAAATGAATCCCGATTGCAGATAACTACTGATTCTACGAATAACTCGAATGATACAGCTTCAGTTATGAGTACGTCAAGTGATCAAGCTTAATCCAACGAACTCGTAAATGCAGAAGGTCCAATGAATGCTGTCGGTCTAGAAGATGAATCGTACACAAAAACCAAATTAGGAAGTGGCAAGCCAATCTTTAACCAAGGAGAGCAGAAAGTCTTAGGTTTGCGATGGAACACCGCGACAGACTGTTTCCTTTTCGACCTAAAGAGCCTTGTAGAAAATGCAAAGAATTGCGAACCAACAAAACGAAACATTGTTAGTGTGGTATCAAGTATATACGACCCTGTTGGATTCCTGTCGCCAATAACAATTCGACTTAAAATCCTGCTACAAGAGCTGCATGAAAGAAAAATCAGTTGGGACGAACCACTAGACGTGACGTCGAAGTCAGCATGGTTCAAATTAGTTGGAGAACTCGAGAAGGTCGAACAGATGGTCTTCCCTAGATGTTTTGTCGTCGGCGTAGAGGAAGAAGTTATGTCTTATTCGCTACACGGGTTCTGCGACGCCTCCGTCAAAGCGTATGCCGCAGTAATTTATCTAAAGATGGAGACATTACATGGTGTATACGTAAGGTTCGTAACGTCGAAATCGAGAGTGTCTCCCCTGGAAAGACAGTCGATTCCGCGCTTAGAACTATTGTCAGCGCTCATACTTGCCCGGCTTATCGATAATGTTGAACGAGCATTGAAATCAGTCATAAATCTTGGTCCATCGACATGCTGGACAGACTCGAAGGTCTCGCTGTATTGGATAACACAGCTCGATAAGGAATGGAAACAATTCATTCAAAATAGAGTTATCGAAATTCGGAAACTCACATCAATTTCATCGTGGAAGCATTGTCCAGGTCAAGAAAACCCAGCAGACATTCCTTCAAGGGGAATGGCCCCTACCGAAATTGCCAATTGTGAGCTTTGGAATCATGGCCCTGGCATGTTATATGGCGAAATGGACGGGGAGGGACATAAAGAGCAAGAAATTCCGGAAGAATGTACGAAAGAAATGAGAATCGCTGACCAAAAGAAATTAGGAAACAACGTTCAAAACTCCCTTTTGGTGGTTGAGGGCGAGAAGACAGAGAAGAGTATTGCTACGATAATAAACTGTAATAACTTCAGTTCGTTTCGAAGGCTGATCAGAGTTACTGCTCGAGTCTTGAAATTCACAAAGATTCTGAAAAGGAAATGCAAATCGAAAGAATTGACGACTGACGATGTTAAAGAGGCAGAATTGTTATGGATTAAAGAAATACAAACATCTCTAAAACGCGATTCCAGATACGAGTCTTGGCGGCGACAGTTCGCACTGTTCAGCGACAGCCAAAGAGTGATAAGATGCGGTGGACGCATATCAAACGCTGAGATTCAGTACGAAACCAAACACCCGATCATGTTGGACAGAAATCACAGAGTAACACGACTCATCATAGAAGAATGCCACGAACGCGTTCACCACAATGGCGTAAAAGAAACACTCACCGAAATCAGATCGAAATTCTGGATTGTCAAGGGAAGGCAATTGATTAGAAAGATAATACACAGTTGCGTTCCTTGTCGACGCTTCGAGGGAAAGCCATATAACCCAGCAGACCCACCACCATTACCCAAATCCAGAATAGTAGAAGACCCACCATTCACATGTACGGGTATTGACTTTGCTGGACCATTATATGTTAAAAACGAAGATAAATCCAGCTTAGAAATGGCGAAGACGTGGATATGTTTATATACATGCGGCGTAACACGAGCTGTCCACCTCGAACTTGTCCGAGAAATGTCGACGGAAGCCTTCTTGAGAAGCTTTAAGAGATTCACCGCAAGACGCGGGGTTCCAGCCAAGGTTATATCGGACAATGCTAAAACCTTTATCTCAGCCGCAAAGAAATTATGCGCCCTGTTTGATCTACCTGAAGTGAAATGTTATCTATCTTCCAAGAAAATCCAATGGTGCTTTAACATAGAAAAGGCTCCCTGGTGGGGAGGCTTTTTCGAACGATTGGTAAAATCAGTAAAACGATGTTTGAAGAAGGTTCTAAAGAATTCGAAGGTAACATACGATGAACTACTAACCATTGTAACCGAAGTTGAAGCTATCCTTAACTCCAGACCGATATCATACGTGTCATCCGAAGATATCGAGGAACCGCTTACTCCTTCGTACTTGTTGTGTGGTCGACGTCTTCTATCATTACCCAACATTGTCAATGACAACGACGAAAAGGATCCAGACTGGCAACCAAACAAGAGCGAGATTGTCCGCAAAGGAGTACATCTGGAAAAACTAATCGAACATTTTTGGAAAAGATGGCGTAATGAATACCTATTGGAACTTAGAGAATCGCATCGCTTGAGAATCAAGAACACCCCACAGAGAAGAATTGTTCGAGTAGGAGATGTGGTTGTCGTTCGTGATGACACGCCAAGAGTTTCGTGGAAAATAGGTCGAGTCGAAGAACTGATTACTGGTAAAGATGATCAAGTCAGAGAAGCGGCAGTCAAGATTGGTAGCAAGGGAATGAAACCTAGCAAACTAAGAAGACCAATACAGGCGTTGATCCCGTTGGAGATTAGTGACGCAGAAAACGAAGATGCTGAAAGAGAAAACCCATCCAAGAAGAAAGACGATCCAGAGGAAACAGTTGAAACATTAAAACCAAGAAGAAAGGCAGCCGTCGCAGCAGATGACCTACGAAAGAAGTGGCTACAACAGCTAAGTTGAACCTTTAACATTTCAGTATAGAAGATTAGCTATTATTACGTTTTAAGAATTTGTTGACATTATGTTGTTGATCGATGAGATTATATCGATCAACGGGGGGAGTGTGAGAGAGTTAGAAGTAGAACGTTATGTAAGAACAATATAGTGGCGACCACGAGGAGAGAATATTCAAGATGGCGGACTCAGTAAAATTATTGTTTGTATAAGTCTATATATATGTTTGCGTATATTTTATCATTTATTATTAAAAAGAAACAAATTCAATATCCCGCGGAAGCCTTTAGATCCTAAGTCTCTTACACAAATGTTGTAACAAGAGAATAAAGGAAAAAAATTCTGGCGGAAAAGAGACTATGCTTCAATTGCACAGGAAGTCAACATCGTGCTGTCAACTGTAAAAGCAAACTCGGATGTCAGAAATGTAACAAGAAACACCATACTTCAATCTGTGAGCAATCAGAACAATTCTTAGTGACTGGAGGTCATATGAACACGCGCGTTACGCACCCAGTGGTTATAGTCGAAGTTGAAGGTGTTAAGTGCAGAGCCCTGCTCGACACCGGAGCAGGCAGTTCTTACGCGTCGGCAGCACTTTTGGATCGCATTCCAAAGCGGCCGTCCAAGAGAGAAATACGAAAAATTGATATGATGCTCGGCGTGACTACGAGGGAAGTCGAATTGTCAACCATTGAAATCAAGGGAACATCGGGTAAATTTTCTATGAAAGTCGAAGTCACCAAGGTGAACAAAGGAGAACTTGTGTTCATAGACAATCCGAGATATCAGAACATGATAGAGCAAAACCCACATTTGAAAGGAGTCATCATGGAAGACATTGATCAGAAAGAGCGACTTCCGGTGCACATCATTCTCGGAGCAAGTGACTACGCAATGTTGAAAACTGATCAGCCACCCAGAGTTGGTAAATCGGGGCAACCGGTAGCTGAGTTGACACAGTTTGGATGGACCATCATGTCCCCTGGAAAAGAATCCTGCGACGTGACCAATATGCTTTTGACTCAGACATCCCAGGCTGATTACGAAGAACTGTGTCGCCTGGATGTCTTGGGTTTGAAAGATACACCCACCAACGACCAGCACAGTGTATTTGATGAGTTCAAAGAACAACTCACCCGGGACTCAGCTGGTTGGTACGAAACAGGGCTACCGTGGCGCGGCAACCATCCTGTATTACCCAACAACGAAGCTAATAGTTTGCGACGATTAGCAAGTTTAACGAACAGACTCGAGCGGCAAGGTTTGACAACCAAATACGGGGAGATAATGGAGGAACAAAAGGCAGAGGGGATAATTGAGAAAGCTGAACTGCGGAGCGTAGGAAGAGAATTTTACATCCCACACAAAGCAGTTATTCGACCTGATGCAGAATCCACAAAAATCCGAGTCGTCTATGACGCTTCGGCAAAAGCACATGACGGTGTTCCATCGCTGAATGAGTGTCTACATCCGGGACCTCCATTGCAAAATAGAATGTGGGATGTGTTAGTTAGAGGACAGTTTCATCTAATAGCTCTGACGGGTGACTTGCAAAAGGCCTTTTTGCAAGTACGTATTCGCGAAAACGACCGAGACGCGCTTCGATTTCACTGGCGGAAAGATCAGCAATCAGAACTAGAGACCTTGAGATTTACCAGGGCACTTTTCGGACTTGTATCATCTCCTTTCTTGTTGGGGGGAGTCATTGATGCATACCTGAGTAACTGGGAAGAAAGAGAACCGGAAGTAGTAGCAAAATTGCGTGAAGAGTTGTACGTGGACGATTTGATAACGGGGTCAGCATCAGTATCGGAAACGGAAGAAGTTAAAGAGAAAGCAACAACTATTTTCGAGGATGCGGGGTTTAAGCTTCACAAATGGCACTCGAATGAGCGTGAATTAGAGACGACACAGTCTCAAGACGGTGATCCTACCTATGCAAAACAGCAGTTAGGGACCCCAGAAGTGGGAGATAGTAGCTTGCTTGGACTTGCGTGGAATAAAGAACGAGATACAGTCGCTGTTACAATGTCCACTGAAAAGACGGTGTTTAACAAACGGGGCGTCTTGGCAAAGCTCGCCAAGATATATGAGCCTTTGGGCTTCGTATCTCCTTTAACGTTTACGGGTAAACTTATCTACCGTGCAGCATGTGACACCAAGAAGCGCTTTGGAGATGCGAGCGGTAACGGGGTTGCGGCGTGTGTCTATGCCGTAGTTGAGCAAGATTGGGGGACCAGCCAAGGCCTAGTCGCGGCGAGATCAAGACTACCGAAGCGAGGATTAACGATTCCGAGGCTTGAACTGTTAGCGGCGCATATGGCAGTCAACTTGGCTTCAAATGTAAAAGAGGCATTGCTCGGATTTCCGGTTACGAAAGTTCAATGTTGGTCGGACAGCTCGGTAGTTCTGCATTGGATTACGTGGAGCGGGCAATTCGAAAGGATGATTGGGCTCGTGAAAGCAGCGTTAAGCAAGACCATTGAAAACGGTTTCCTGCGATGGAACGAGTTAGAGGAAGTATTGCTTGATGTCGAGGTGGCGTTAAATCACCGTCCATTATCTTACGTGGAGGATGACGTGCAATTTCCAGTGTTAACGCCAAATTCGATGTTGTTTCTGAATAGTAATATTTTACCCGAATTGCAACCATATAATATTGAGGACGGTGACCTTAGAAAACGAGCGAAACACTTGATGAAATGCAAAGAAGCGCTTTGGAGATGGTGGACCCAGGAATGTTTGCGTGGCCTTTGTGAGAGACATCGTTCGAAAGCGGAATGTAGTGGAGCAGTGCCAACGGTCGGAGACGTAGTGATTATTGCGACAGATGAGAGAAAACGTGGTCGTTGGCCGTTAGGAATTGTCGAAGCGCTGATTGTGGGAAAAGATGGGAAAATCAGGGGAGCCAAAGTACGTACAGAGAAGTCTCAAATTGAGCGTGCCTTGCAGCATTTGTACCCACTAGAGCTCTCGGTTGACAAGAAAGAACCAGTACCGGCAATACTCAACCCAAAAGCGGAGACATTTAGACCGAAGCGGGATGCTGCAGTTAGCGGCCAAATTGCGTGTTCAAGAGATCGCGGAGGATGAACAATAGACTTAATTTCAAGTGAACATTTGGACACTGAACTGTGAACAGTCAGAACAATTTAGAAATATACTAAGGTTGACATTTAGTACAGTTGTATCATTGGCCAATCTCCAGGTGTATTGGACGACATTTATCTCAAATAGTAGATAAATGGGGGGAGAGTGTTGGAGATTGTCAATATTTAATATTTAACAGTTTATGGCATACCTGAAGTTAATTAATGCGCAAGTGTCAATCAAAAAGCATGCGGTTTGGACATTGCAAGAATTTGTGTGATTGTGTTGAGACGGGGCGAGAATAAATATATTTTTCATAAAAGCGTTTGAAATTTCTACTTTTAGTGAGTTGTTGTGAATATAGGAGGCAATTCACGACACATTTTCAAATACCGGAGCATTCTTTTTAAATAGCAGAACTCCCTTTTCAAATAGCGGAACTTTCTATTCAAATAGCAGAACTCCCTTTTCAAATAGCGGAGCATTCTTTTCAAATAGCAGAACTCCCTTTTCAAATAGCGGAGCATTCTTTTCAAATAGCAGAACTCCCTTTTCAAATAGCGGAACTTTCCTTTCAAAAAAGAGAACTCCCTTTTCAAATAGCGGAGATACTTTTCAAATAGCAGAACTCACTTTTCAAATAGAGAAACTTTCTCCTCAAGTAGCAGAATTCTCTTTTCAAATAGCGGAACTTTCTCCTCAAGTAGCAGAACTCTCTTTTCAAATAGCAGAACTCCATTCTCAAATAGCGGAGCATTCTTTTCAAATAGCAGAACTCCCTTTTCAAATAGCGGAGCATTCTTTTCAAATAGCAGAACTTTCTTCTCAAATAGCGGAACTTTCTTTTCAAATAGCAGAACTCCTTTTTCAAATAGCGGATCATTCTTTAGAAGTAGCAGAACTCCCTTTTCAAATAGCGGAACTTTCTTTTCAAATAGCAAAACTCCCTTTTCAAATAACGGAGCATTCTTTCAAATAGCAGAACTCCCTTTTCAAATAGCGGAGCAATCTTTTCAAATAGCAGAACTCCCTTTTCAAATAGCGGAACGTTCTCCTCAAGTAGCAGAACTCTCTTTTCAAATAGCGGAACTTTCTCCTCAAGTAGCAGAACTCTCTTTTCAAATAGCAGAACTCCACTTTCAAATAGCGGAGCATTCTTTTCAAATAGCAGAACTTCCTTTTGAAATAGCGGTGCATTCTTTTCAAATAGCAGAAATCCCTTTTCACATAGCGGAACTTTCTACTCAAATATCAGAACTCCCTTTTCAAATAGCGGAGCATTCTTTTCACATAGCAGAACTCCATTTTCAAATAGCGGAGCATTCTTTTGAAATAGCAGAACTCCCTTTTCAACTAGCAGAACTCCATCTTCAAATAGCAGAGCATTCTTTTGAAATAGCAGAACTCCCTTTTCAAATAGCGGAACTTTCATATCAAATACCAGAACTCCCTTTTCAAATACCGGTGCATTCTTTCAAATAGCAGTACTCCCTTTTCAAATAGCGGAGCATTCCTTTCAAATAGCAGAACTCCCTTTTCATATAGCGGAACTTTCTCCTCAAGTAGCCGAACTCTCTTTTCAAATAGCGGAACTTTCTCCTCAAGTAGAAGAACTCTCTTTTCAAATAGCAGAACTCCATTTTCAAATAGCGGAGCATTCTTTTCAAATAGCAGAACTCCCTTTTCAAATAGCGGAGCATTCTTTTCAAATAGTAGAACTGTCTTTTCAAATAGCGGAACTTTCTATTCAAATAGCAGAACTCCCTTTTCAAATAGCGGAGCATTCTTTTCAAATTGCAGAACTCCCTTTTCAAATAGCGGAATTTTCTTTTCAAATAGCAGAACTCCCTTTTCAAATAGCGGAGCATTCTTTTCAAATAGCAGAACTCCCATTTCAAATAGCGGAACTTTAT